CTAAACCCTAAACCCTAAATTTAGCTTCTGCTTTCGATGCTTGTTTCTGGAGTTTTGGGGGCCGAGGGAGATGACAGCCCAGGTCAAGTCTCGGGAGAGGTTGGGCATGTAGGGGCCTATTTCAGTAGGGTTTTGGAGCATATTATACTATACTCAAAAAAAAATAAGGAACCCCAAAAATAGTGTAAGTAGTAGTTAAGGCCCCTATATGAAGCGCCTGCGGGTTCAGGGTTTTTGCTTCAGACGTGCGGAGTACACCCCCGACTAGATGCTAATGGTGGAGGATCGACGGACCGAGCCCTAACGGCAACGCTTGTGGCGATAAGTTTCAGGAGTCGCCTGTTTCATCGCCCGACAACCCCAAGCCCTGAAACCCACTGCTTCTGCTGCCCTTGCTGTTGCCGTTGCTGCTGCCACTGCTGTTGCTGCTGCTGCTGCTGCTGCTGCTGCTGCTACGACTGCTGCGACTGCTACGACTGCTACGATTGCTACTGCTACTGCTACTGGTGCAGCTGCTGCTGCTGCTGCTGCTGCTACTACTACTACTACTAATAATAATAATACTAATAATAATAATAGGTTTACTGCTTACTACTTGCTTCTTACTACTTGCTACTCCGGCTACCACTACGACGACGACTACTACCGCTACTGACTACGACGACGACTACCACCATGGCTGAAAGTACTGCTACTGCTACTGCTACTAACTACAGCACCAGCACCAGCACCTGCACCAGCACCATCACGACGACGACGGCTGCTACTGCCGATGCTACTGCTTCTGCTGCCGCTGTTGCCACTGCTACTGCCACTCCTCCTCCTCCTGCCGCGGGATGCATGCTCTCTAATCTGGAACGCCCGCTACTTTTTCATCTGCAGCGGCGCACTTGACATGTGGTGCCCGTGACCACTTGGCTTTCGATAGGAGCCGCAGCACATGCTTGCGGCCACGTGCAGCATGAAGAGGAGTCTTTCCGTCAGAGTCACGCATGCTGGTGCGGGCTCCTGCCCTCAAGAGCAAGTCCACCACCCTCTCAGGGCCACGACGGCATGCTTCCCACAACGGGGTTCGTCCGGCTGTGTTCGGGGCATCTACGATGGCACCGGCTTTCAACAAGAAGGTTGCACGCTCTACCACGAGATTTTGCCTGAGGGTTGACGTCACAGTAAGAAAGAGCGGAGTTCTCCCGCCAGCGGTTGCTTCGATGTTCGCCCTGGACTCAAGAAGAACACACATCGTGTTTGAATTTGAATGTGCTGCCACGGCTGCGTAGCACAAAGGCGTCCCGATTCGACCGCGAAATTCGATATTGGCTCCTGCCTGCAACAGGCACTGCACCTCACTTGCTGCGGGTTTAGGTTTAAATTTGCTGAAGTTTAGCTTCTTCTGGGCAAACCAGATACACTGTTGATTTCGAAAAGCCTTCACTCAGAATCCAAGACACTGCCTCCAGATCATTTTGCCACGCGGCACTGCAAAGTGGCGGAATGTGTCCGCCGTCTGGGTCAGCACGGGCTTCCAGCAGCAGCCGCATGATCTCGTTATTATGGTGATGCTAAAGTTTAGAAAACGGTCTGCGTTTGGATCCAAGGGCAGCTGAAGCAACCTTTCAACTTCTGTCACGAATTCGATCGACATGGCATCGAAGAGATCAGCCAATTTGTCTTCCGTGCTGACAAGGCCCAAGATCACCTGGGCTTCGACTCCGACAGCCCTCAAACTTGCTTAAAGCTGGGTTTCCATGCTAAACCACTAAGGAAACCAACCTTAAAACCACCCCAAATCGGCACCAAAGTCACCAGCTGCAGGTCGCGGTCGGTGGGGAAGTCCAGGGACTCCTCATCCTGCAGATTCTCTCCACCGAGGAGCAGCCTCTGACGAAATCGCGGCTGCCCACAGAAACTCTGCAGCTGCTTCTTCAAGGCCCTCACCGTCAACCCCTCCGAGGGGATGGCGACCAACTCTTCACCAGAGGCTCTCCAGACGCGCAGCATCCGGCACGCCGCCGGGAACGAGGCAAGAGACCCAGAAGCCCGGACGCAAGAAAAGAGACCCTGCCCAAATCCGTGGAACTCAAAGCGATCCTGCTACTACCTCCTGAGCGCTAGACAGAAAAAAGCCCCTACTACCCCCCTAGTGGCCAAGGCGGATGTTTTTTATGGAAACCGACCTACGGAGTCCTTTGAAAGGGAGCCTTGTAATAAGGACTCTGCTATGGGTTGCCTGAATAACTTGAACCAGTGTTCCCAAGATGTCTGTCTTCATGTAAGGTGTAGTAGAAATGCACCGAAATCCTGGTCGAATTGTCATACTTAGCCATGAGTCCTTATTCAGCCTTTGAAGGTTTAAGGCTCCCTTCAAATGTAGGAATAGGAACGTAGGAGGCTCTGCTCTAAACCCCACAATATGAGCCTTATGTTGAACATGTTTTCACGCGCATAAGCAGTGCTTCGAGCACTTGCTAGGCCCATGAGTTGCATAACATCTTGACGTCGGTGCCCATGTTATGAACAGATGCACGCGATACCTGCTGGACACGGCCAACAAAGAGGCCCAGTGCTGCAGGGCCTTCTGCTACACACCAGAAATCACCAAAACCTCATACTCGCTACACCCTTAACCCCCAAAGCACTACACCCGAAACTAAACCTTAAACTCCTGAGCCCCACACCCTAACCGCTTGACCGTGGATTCAACACCTGTCTGTGGAATTCACTAAGCTCCGGACGGTTTAGGATTTTGGAAGTTCAGGGAATCCCTCAACCCTGAATCTGAAACCCTGAGCCCCTAACCCCTAAGCCCGTAAAGAACACTTCACGAACCCTTTCGCGTGCCTTTAAACAAACCCTTACAGATGCCCTTCTAGAATCGTGAACGAACCGCAAAGGAAGCACAAGCCAAAAACTTTAAGCAAACCACTCAAACAAATTGTCAAACAGTCCCCAACGTAATCCTCACCGGAACCCTTAACGGACACGTGCCCGTGCGGAACCCTTCGAGCAGCCCTGAAAGAAACACCTAGAGAAAGTACTAGGGAACCGTTAGAGAAAGCCCAAAAGGACCCTCAACAAGGAACCTGAAAGAACCCATTCTTGAAATCCTTAAGGAAGTCCTTTAGCAACTCTTAAGAACCCCCTCAAGACATGGTTAAAGAACCCTTGCAAAGCCCGGAAACTCGACAACCTGGGTTGAGGGTTTTGGGTTCCAGATACCATATGGTTTTTGAAGTATAGCGTGACCCCGAAATTCATACACGAACCCGAAGGTTACTGTTCTGGCGCCTACATTGCCATGAACCAAGTAAAACCTCAGCCCTAAGCCACGGCGCCCTGAGCCCTTGAACCCTGAACTCAAAGCTCTGCAACCATGAACCTTACACCACCAAACCTGCATAGTCTAAAATGCTTGAATCCTGAATCCCTACACCCTAGCGTCCAACCTTCGTAAGCCTTAGCAGGCCTATAACCGGAATCCCTCCAAGCCACACCCCCCGCTGAATCTAGAAGGTTGATCGGTGTTTGGGGCTGTGGCTGAGCAAGGGCTGTGGGCTGAAGGATCAGGGTTTGGGATTCGGGTTTAGGCACATTGAGGGTTCTAGGATTAGGGTTTAGCGATTGCGGTTTACAGTAGGTACATTCAGGGTTCTAGGATTAGGGCTTGAGTTTGATTTAGGGGTTCTTGGTTTTCCTATAGAGTACGGCTTCGCAGTATAGGGTGCTTTCTCGGCCCTCCCAGGACTCTCGAAACCTCCCGAATCTCAAAAGGAAACGCAACCCAAAAAACGCAAACCCCCAAAAGACCCAGCTATTCGTACTATCGAAATCCAAACAGTATGGGTAGTTCCTAAATTAGGGTCCCTTTTAGGGTCCGTTTTATAAGGGTGCCGTGCTATAATTGGGACCTGAAAAGGGACCCTAATTTAGAGAACTACCCATATACCTCAGCCCGAGCTCTGAAATCCCAAAGCTGATTCTCCCAATGCCAACCTCCACTCCGTGACACAACGCAGTCGCCGTCGCCTTTTTGTAGGCGCCCGTCCTCCCAGCTTCTAGATAATGCACCTTAAACCAAAATACGGACTCCTCGAACATTTTTAAGGGAGGTGCTGCTTCACTGACGGGGCGTATGCGGATGCATCTTCTGCGGGCTAAGGATGGTCCTGCATGGCGGCTCAGGATTTGGCGGTGTAGATGTATGGTGCCGGATAACACCCAAACCATCCCCCACCCTACAATCCAAAAAGTTAAAGCCCCACAGACCGCAAAATCCTGAGACCGCAAAACCCACAAAACGAAAGATTTCAAGCAGTCCTGAAAGCATTAACCCTAAACCCTAAACCCTAAACCCTAAACCTTAAACCCTAAACCTTAAACCCTAAACCTTAAACCTTAAACCTTAAACCCTAAACCCTAAACCCTAAACGCCACCAAGCTGTGTCATCAATTCTGTGGGGCGTGCTAGATCTGCGCGATTGGAGACCCGGGCCCGATGCCAGAAACCTGTTTAGGGTTTAGGGTTGGGGGTTTAAGGTTTAAGGTTTAGGG